GACTTTGTCCAAAATGGAGGTTAAGATGGTTTGGCCAAAGCAATCGCACAGTAGCTTTAGGATCAGCTGAGAGTTTGTGAGCACAGACCATGGTAAACATACACTATATGTCCTAAAGTATGCGCACACAGCTTGTATAATCTCCATAGAGAAGCACTGCTAATTGAACAGGACAATCTGGAACAGCTGCACAAGTATAAGGTCACCATGCCCAGTGCCAAGTGTTGCCCCCCACATTGGGCTGTAGAGCAGTGGAACTGTGTTTTCTGAAGTGATGAAGCACCATCAAATACCTCTGAGATGAGTTGGAGTGGTTTGGGATCCAGAACTAATCAACCAATGCACTAATGGCTGAATCAGTTAAATCCTCAGAGCAATGTTCTAACATCTAGTAAAGCCTTCCCAGAAGAGCAGAGGCTTTTACTGCAGCAAAGGGGGAGGATGGGTGGCAAACTCTCTATTAACATCCTTGATTTCAGACAGATATTGGATAAGCAGAGGTCTGCAAACTTTTGGACACACAGTTGTATGTAAAAGTTTTAAAAGTCTTTACCAGTGTGCTCAAACTTTTGCATACACCCGTATAGTGTATCTATTGAAAAGATGTCGTTACTAGTCAGTTGTATTAGTTTGCTGGAATATGAAAAACCCTAAAGTTAGTCGCAGTGATTGTTAAATGAACTAAGAACAGATTACAGGGTGCTGCCTTTGGTACTCATATTTCTAATCTATGGAATTCCCTCCCAGAAAACATTCACCAGGCATCCTCAGTAAGGAATTTTAAAAAGCATCTCAAACCTACTGTGTCTTAATTGAGCTTCTCACAATGTAGCATGTATGAATGTGCAAAATGAATAAATACTGTACCTGCTGCTATTTCAGTTGACTTTAGATTATAAAAACAGCCTGTAATAGAGTGCCAACAACATCCGAAAGCACAGACATGAGAGCCTTCAGTCCTATGCATGTTGGTTTCCACCTGAAGTTCAAAATAAGCACTGACCAAATGCTAATGGCCATGTTCACACTGCAAAATGAACTGTTTCATTTGTCTTTTTTACTTAATTGTATTCATGGCTTTTGACACATTTTCTGAGAAGAAAACCTTTTTTAACTAATTTTGGACCATTTCTAGTGATTCATCCATCATGCAATTCTAACACAAACTGGGGATACAGGCAACCATACAGGTACCTATTCAAGAAACTGTGTTAGTTTTGATGAATAGATGCATTGAGTTGAAACTGTAAGCTGGTTTGGATCAGAGACACAGCAGAGCTTAAAACATTGGCTTAAATACACTGTAGAACACTGTAGAACACTTACCTCAACAATTAAGTACATCAACTGATTTTTTTTGTTTGCTTTCCCAGCATTCGCAGCAGTTTTGTTAAATTTTTTCAACCTAAATCAATATATTACGTTGAACGATTCTTTCACTCAAAGTAAGTTTCTGATAAGAATAAAACTATTTAATTTACTTGTTACATAAAGTATGATTTTTTTTTACAGTGCAGAAGCAGCAAAGTGCAAATTAGTGAGAGGTTAACATAACTAGGCTGATTCTAGTTAACCTAACTAAATCAAGAGTATACAGAACCGAAAAAGTAGATCAAATGAAACTATTTAAAATGATTGTGCTGTTTGAGTTAACTTTACTTACTGTAGAAATGTAGATCACTGAAACATAGAAAGAAACTATAACTGAAATATTAAGTTATTTGCGTGTGAACCTGTTACGTATGATTTTTTTCCAGGTGAAAAGTTTTCATGCTTTTTTTAAGTAAAGTCAACTAATTTAAGATTCCAGTGTAGATGCACAAATGTGTTTAGAAAAAAAAAACATGTAATTTAGAACATTTCTGTATGCATTTTTAATTTTGGTCACCTAAATAAACCAGATATGTTTAGTTTCTTTCTGGGAATTCCAGTTATTTTTTAAGCAACCAATTAAGTCTTGACCACTGCAATTAAACACATGCTCTGTAACTATGGCTATTTTTCTTTCCCTCAAATCTAATTAGCAAATAAGCCATCTATAACAGTGCTGCCAGTCCAGTGGACCTTTTGCTCAAGCTCGCTGTTATGGCTCTGACGAGCTCTCAGCCCTTCTCTCCAAACACATGTGATGTTTGAGAGCGGATGAGAGGAGCCACAGGAAAACATTTAAACTGCAGCTGAAGTGGTATGTGCCGTGTCTACACAAGCATCCTGGGGTAGCTCCTCACAGCTGCCAGAGAAAAGAGATTCAGCAGCAGCATAAGCATTCACAGACTCCTTCTCTTAGCTCGTCCCGTCAGCATAAAGTATTCATACTCCAAACACACTGCACATCCTGATTAGAGAGCATCGGAGGCTGCACCTTCCCCGATAGGCCGGCATCAGTGCAGCAGTGATGAGCTCGCACAGACGTGCCTCACGTAGCGTGTCTGGCCCCAAAGCAAACAAAACCCAAAGCCATGTTGTGTTTGGGATGGCCACTATTAGTTTAAGCTTTTCCTTTTTCACAGCCCCCCCACCCCCTACCCCACCCCCCGCCAAACAAACACACACACACACTCACCTCACAGCAGAGTTTGAGCAAGGAAAGGAACAAACCAACAACCAAAAAAGAAAATACATTGTGTTTACTGTGTTCAAATGTGTATGTAATTTCAACATTAATGAAATATACAGTGGAAAAACCTTCATTTATTTTATTAACAGCCATAGAGTATAAGTTTATAGGTATAGTATTAATTTTTCAACATCTAAAAAAAAGCACAAAACATATATTTAATCAGAATTAGAATCACTTTATTTCACCAAGTATGTTACACATGCAAGGAATTTGCCTTGGTGACTGCACACACGTATGACATGTACACTGCTAGAAATAAAGATTCTGTGCAGGTCCATTTTTTGTTCATTAAGGTACAAACAATGTAAATGTATCTTCAATGGCACAACAGTGGTTTTAAGGTCCTACTGTGTACTTAAAATAAATTTTTTGCAGGTGAAAAGTACATATTTGTACTTTTTCATAACCTAATGTTTTAAAACAGAACAATAAAATAAAAAGCCTGGAGACGAGACTGGGTGTGTGGAGTCAGTGCAACTTAGAAAATACAATTTCAATGGATTATAGTACAATTATGTTCCCTGACTAAAGGTACTGAGATGTATCCTTGAGGGTCCCACCCCAGTGACAAGAGGGGTACTGCCCCAGTGACAGTTTCGTACCTTTTTTCTGAGAGTGTAATATACTAAACAGACCAGACAGTTAACAAGTATTTAGGTGGAAATTACACAGAATCCTCATTATTTTCAGTATTTAATGTGTCCACGCTTTGCCTTTATTACAGCTTCCATTCTTTTCTTGAGACTTGATTTCTGTTTTTCATAGGAATCTGCAGTGAGATCTTTCACACCTCTGAAGTTCAGTCTTAGAAATTGGTTGCATTTTCTGCTTTTCACAATCCAAATAATCCCAAACACATTCAATGATGCTGTCTTCTGCACTGTAAAATTGTTCTCTCAGTTTAACCTACAAAAATACTTTATAGGGTAAGAAGCAAATAAAAAAAAAACCTCAAATAAATACTTTAAATTAAATAACACAAAGCAAAATTTTACTTCAGATGACCAAAACCAACATATTACATCAGTTCAAAAACACTACAAATCAACTTCTGCCCTGTACCACTTTTTACAGTGTGGTCATGGGGGTGGTCAGTGCATTGTTTTGAGTATGCCATTTGGTTTGGTTTGCAAATTTACTTCTTTTTGTCCCTTTTCTTTTCTCAATAATGGCTTCCTGACAGCTACACCTTCTTTTAGACTCATAATGTTGAGCTGTCTCCTCACAGTGGAAGAACAGACAGAAATATCTGTGGATTTTTCCAGATATGAAGCAAGAGTGGAGCTTGATTTTCTCCATAACATAAATATTAGTTTCATGGTTACAGAATAATTTCTAACACATACTGAACAGAATAATAAGCATTGAGTTTAATGAGTTAATACCTCATGATAATACCAACAGGATAATTAAACGTCTCATTAAATGATAGCATCACAGTTGCCTGGTGGCTTGTGTGGCCCCTCTGTTCACTCTGGTCTCTGCGGTCCAGCGTGTGTGAGGGCTAATTCAGAGGAACGGAACTGCGTCTGTTTGCTGACACTGTCCACCTAAGTGTGCTCTTTACAATAGCTCACTGCAGTCCTGTCATTCAACACAGCGTGAAGAATGCAGTGAAACCACGTAAGGATCCCCAAACCGTGCATTCCAACGTTACTGCAAACACCATGCCACTATATGGAGTACAAATGTTATATGAGGACCTACTAGATGGGGGGAGAGAGAAAGAGAGAGAGAGAAGAGTCTTATGGAAACAAATGCTTATGGAAACAAACATCCCCATTTGCCTCTGTTATGTTGTCTAATGGTTCATGTTTTCCTGTCCAAAAAATTAGATGCTTTGCTACTGGAATTTCATAATCCAGTTTGCCCAGAGAACTGTGTGGTTTGTTTCTCAGGCCGCCTATTCTGAGTCTGTGCTTATTCTGGTCGAGCTGTCCACCCCTTACTGTTCTACTCAAAATAAAAGATGAATTCCGAGACTTCTGACCACACAAGTTAGCGATGAATGGACAAATATCAACATTCCTACTTACAGCCTGTTTACTACCTAATTAAAACACTGCATGTAAGGAATGTAGAGTTTTACATTTTCTTAGACAATGTGAGAAACAAAGAACAATAATGAGAGTGAGAGCTGAAGAGAGATGGGCTGTCCATTACAGCAAATGGACAAAATAACCTCAGAAATATAAATGTGTGTAAAAAAATGTATTGTTTACACAGTTAAGTTCTATTTTGCTCAGCTACAAAACCTGGACCTCTTCACACAGTACTTAACTTCACTGATGCGTCCAGCTCCCAACAGCAGGAGAAAGCAAGGTGGAGAGAGAGGGAGAGAGAGAGAGAGGGCGAGGGAGATGAGGAGGAGGGTGGGGATGGGACGAGTATGAAAGGCTCTGGAGGAGGAGATTTCAATGAGCAACTTGTTGAAATGGAGCTGAGGGATAATTAGTGGGCAAGTGGTTCAACTATGTAGAGGAAATGCGCGGGAGAAGAGCTTCTCCAAAGGCCCAACATCTCCTCCAACATCTCGGCCAGGACCACACGCCAGACAGCAAGAAAACAAAGCTCCTAGTTTTGGCGGACGCGTTTTTTCAGTGCACCAGAGACGTTTGGCTCGCTCCTGAGCTCGCTCTCCGTGCTAGAGCAGAGCTCCAGCAGAAAGTTTGGTGAAGTTCTGAGCGGCTCTCGGGCATCTTCGTCATCGTCTTCGGCCACGATCGCCACACACCGAGTCGCGGATTATAGTCTGCAGTCCGGACGCTCACGTGACCACACCTGAGTGGATTTTTGGCCCGTTCGTGTCCTTCCTGACCTTAAAACAGCGCGAAATGTGCGTGCTGGTGTCAGTCGTGCCGGTCTTCGCTGCTTTCCTCGCGCTTTCTCCAGCTCAGGTAGGCGAAGCACTCAAGAGCAGAGTTTATTGCATACACACGCACACACACGTCCATACACCAGCCTATTGTGTTTCTCATTGTGCACCATTTGGGCATGATTGTGCGCACGTTTGCAGAAAAAAAGACCTTTGCGTCTTCAGCCCCTCCAGCTGTTCCAAGTCAGCAGTTGTGTGAACGTAAGCGATTGGAGGAGCCTACGTGCCGCTTTACAGACCCAAGATAACTTTGTGAATGAGCGCAATCGAGCTTGCCGGACATAGTTGTGAAACCTCACACTCAGCAAAGCCTCGCAGGGCTGTTGGTTTTCTTTTTTAACACCCTATTGTCCCCGTAGCTTATAACTTGATCTCTTTTTGAATCGGTGCCACGCAGAAACTGTCGAGTCATGAAGTGAAACGTGACAAACTGCATCCACCGCAGTGGCCCACTGGTGTTTTGTCACGAGCGTGCGCTTCATCATCGTTATACTATTAGAAAACGAGAGTATGTGTTGCGTCATCCTGGAAGTTCACTTCGCTCTTCACTCTTCACGCACTTTCACTTCAGTTTAGTTTACAAAGACTGATGGCTTTCCTTTGGAGGCTGTCCGTGTTAGTGGACATGTAACTGCAGCTGTGCGCACTGAGGTCTAGATGACAGGTGGGCTACCTTTAGGCGGACTGGCCAAGCTGTACACTGTCTCATTTTTCAGAGTGTGACTAAGAAAATCATTGTCCCAGAGCATGCCATGCCCTCCACACTAGGTAATGTATCTGACTGCTATGTGAGATGGCAAAGCTGAGCCTTGGCTATAATGGGAAATCTCAGATTAATGTTGGCCAGAAGCCTTTCTCATCCCCTCCACCTGCAGCTCCATCAGCTCTCTGTTACTCTCATGAAATAAAGAAGTTGGGAATGGCGCATACAGTGTTTAAGACTTGTTTAAATAGGCCTGTATAAGATAAACCTAACTTGTGCTGAAGGTTTCCACCTATTGGTCTTCTTTGTCTGTGCTTCCATTCTGTTAGATTTTGTCCAATGAGAATTCCAATGAGAGTTCAATTTTTCAAAATTAGCAAGTACATTCCATGCTTATAACTATGACAAGAGCCACCTTTGATGCAAATGCTACACTACTATGTTTCTATTTCAGGAGCAGGCCGACAGTTGTAGGAAGTAAGCCTGACTGGTCAGAATGGTACACCTGTGTCCTCAGCTCAGGGTTAGCAGCAATAAACTCCACCCGCTCCTCCCAAAACTCCACAAAGCACATCTCCACTCAAAAATACACCCGAGTGTCTTTCATCTCCACTATTCCGGGCAGAGGGAGTGTGTCTGTGTCCACGCCTCCATTTTTTGTGCGTGTGCCAGTACATGTACAGTCTTCAGTGTGCTGAGTTCCGAGAAGCGGGCAAACATCTGTTGTTCCTGGCTATGTTAAAGAGCCTTTTAGTCATCCTGGCCTTTAGACAGAGGTGACTCTCTGACTATCACGTTTAACACATAGTAAAGGCCCTTCACTTCTTTTTATAGTGCCCATTAACGAGACCTCACTCAAATACTTCAACTGAAACGTTCTCACAATAGACAGGAACTTTCTCTTTCTCTCTCGCCCTCTCTCCCCCCTCTCCTCGAAACCCTCAGTCATTCTTCTCTTTCTCTTACTCCATCTCCCTCCGGCATGCTTCACGTCTCTCTTGCAGCCCTTTCATTTGTTCCACTTTCTTCGCTTTCTCTTCCTCTCCTCTCAGCCCCACCGTCTGTCACTGTAGATGCGGCAAAGCTCCAGTTTTGCTGTAATTCAAGGGGATTTGTACAGAGTGTGACGGTAATGAGCGATATCGCTTGAGCAAGGAGGGGAGTTGCTGTTACGTTCCTAAAGCTGGATAATCGGCTCACGGATGCTTTGTGAAAACATGAGTAAAATCCACCACTGAGGTTTCAGGGTAGCAGGTGACTCATACTTCATACAACAGGTACCTGTTCAAGCATCAGCCAGCGTTCTAAGATGTCATTGTTCCATCTCAAAGAATTGCTAGAATGGGAACGGGCTCAGTGGTAACAGGTTCAACTCTCAGAAACATGTAGCACCTGTGATCTGTATGGCGTTTTGTGGCAGATGAAAAACAAAAATTGGGTCCCATCAGTGGTGTAGCTTCTAATTGAGAAATGGCTAGTATGCACATTGACCTCCTAGATAGGTGGTGCTATAGGGGTGCAATAAAAAGGCCATTGAAAGTAAGGGTGAATGACAATATGTTGGAAATGTTTGTAAAACATTTTGTTTTTTCAGAGATCTTTTTAAAAGTTAACTAGTTCTCAGTAGGAATATGCAGTTCAACTACTTTTGATATTCGAGTAGCCGTAAGGGTTAATGAACGGGTGCTTTGACATTAATGTAGGGCTGTAGGCTTACCTTTTTAGGTGACAGCAGTGGTGTATCAGCATGTAAAGGGACTCATGTTAAAACATTTTTTCTGGTTTGAAAATAGCAGACGCCAACCGAGGCGATAATGAACTAACAGTGTTAACTGGTACAGCACTGAATGGTGATGAGGACTCGTTGTTGTCCTACAAGTAGATGATGTGCCAACTTGTTTGTTTGTCAAAGAATTACACTGTATTTTCACTTTTTCTACACTTGGCTAACATCAGCTAGAGTAATTTAGCTTGCTAAGTTAACAAAAAGGCTGCGCCATATCCAACCATGCTTTCTTTACCTTCTCTTTAACAATGTGTCCTTGGTAATGGGCTCACATTAACCCTCTGGGGTCAAGAAACTCACCTGCATGTCAGATTTGATGTTTATATGTATGTTTCTCTATTTTTGTGATAATATAGCACAGAAATACAGTTTAGACATTTTGACTGCATCTTGTCGCAAGATCAAACATGACTCACATCTGGAGTTATGAGGCTATGAAGAGGGGTTGAGATACGTGTCATCTGCCTCTGACCATGTGTAAAGTGGATTCATATTTGTTCATTTTGTGTGAAACTAACCAGTGGACACTCAGGAAATCACTTACCCATCACGTCGGAAATCCTTCATTCTTCATTCGCTTGACATCGGAGACACATGGAAAATGGCATGGAAAACATTTACAGCTGCTGAAGTTGCTGCTGTGGTTTTAGAAAGTAGAAGAAGATAAAAGAGCATTTTGATATGAAAGACATGAGTATTATGATATATGCAAGTGCCTTTAAAGGTGAACTTTCTCTTGGACCCCATAGGGTTAGGGCTCTTGTGTTTTATAGTAGCAGTGTGTAATATGTACTTACTCGCAAATATGAGTGACCTTGACACATTTTGCAGCCCTGTTTAAACACAAAATCAGTGTTTCACTGAATTGTTCGTCTGTATGTTACCTTCATCTCAATTGTAACGAATATGCAAATAGAGATTTCAGTATTTCAGTACTAGCACCTCGAATGGATAACCAATTACTCAGGTACTTGTACACATACCTAGTTCTCAGCTTAGTATAGGCATGCGCACAGACAGACTACAGGGCATAAACATAATATTCACAGTAAGCAGTGCTTAATTTCTGAATGAAGTTTTTAGTTGTTGTTTTATGGGCTCTGTGGAGAGGTTACCTGCTTAAAGAGAGTTAAAACAGATGTTTCTTACTTTATTTCCTAGGGGTCTTGCGAGAATGCTCTCATATTAGCTATTAGCATGAAACTACATTAATCTACACTGTGTAAGTGTTTGTGGGACACTCCTAACACTGCCTTCGCCTATCTGGATAAAAGTGCATGCCATGTGCTATAGAATAAATGTAATTTCATTCATGTTTAGTTTGCCCCTTTCTTTTCCTTTAAAATGGAATCCCAAAATGTCTGGACATAGGCCTGGTTTAATAGGTCCACTTAATGAACAGCTTGTGAGCAAAAGATAGTTGAAGGAAAACGGAAAAAAGAAAGTGAATAACAGTCATCCCATATCAAGCCCTAGCCCTGCCGTAGCCCTGGAGAAGGCTCCGTATGTCCTATCACTGAACAGGAGCTTACAGTAAACTCATTACATTCCCTCTTGCAGCCTGGCCAGCTCTGCCCTTGATAGCCGGTCTAATGAAATGCCTTAAGGTCACCTTTAATGCCACAGACCAGGCAACATCTGTCAGTGTCTGGAAAATCAGGCATGCTCCCTCCCATGCAGTCTCCTCCACACTGTATCTCCTCTCTGCTGCCTATCTCCTCTGTTTGGCCACTGTTAGCCATTCTTGGAGAAAGCTAAACAGAATGGAAAAGTAAATATTGGCCGTGTGGTTGGGAAGACCATTTATAAATGTCTTCTCCTGCCCTCTTGTGTCGGATGGAGTGCTTCAGTTTCCCCGAAATGTGTACGGCCCTCGCTTAAGCACACGGAGGAATTCTCCTGTTTGGGCTACTGGCCTAAATGCTGTCCTCAGTTTAACCTTAGAGTAAGTGTAATCAGTGATGATATGTCTTAGCCTGGTAAAAGCCATTCTGAATACCACATGCTTTTACTTTGTTTTGTACTTTAATCTGGCACTGCTTCAGTTGGGAGTAGCTGCATTTATATTTAGTTGTTGCACAAGTCTGTATGTCCTGATGAGCAACATAGATGTTTCAGTTCATGAAACATGAGCATGTTGGGTCTGACCTTGAAGCAGTGATGCAAATGGTTCACTGATGAGGGCAAAATGAGAAGAAAGCATGCAAGATCCAGGATGGTTACAGTACATCCAGATGTGTTTGCCATGCCCCGTCTTTTTAACAGTAATGCTGCTGCCAACTCACCTGGAATCTATAGCTCATTTTCTTTTCAAGTACAGTATAGATTGTGCTATTATAGATAATGTGTGCCTGTTTGTGCAAGCCTTTCTGCTAGTAAGTAGGATGTGTGTGACTACACGTATATGCATAGTAAAGATGGCTCTAATCTAGTGCCAAGCACTGGTATCAGGCCAATATCAGCAGAAAATGTTGGGTCAGACATTGGCAGGAAAATAGAATGAATCCCATCCAATCCTGTAACAAATTTAGCC